AAGCCTTTTATTGCACAATCAAATCTTTTAAGAACAAGCCACATGTAATAAGGAGCTTTATCATTTTTCTCTCCTGTGAAGTGCACTGAAGATATTTCAGTAATTGATAATTATTTCTCTGTGCGTTTTACCTATCAGTCCTATTTTTGTCCAGTCTTTGAAAACCTTAAAAATTAGGCTGAGGAAACATAAATAATACCTCCCTCCCTGTGACCTGTTTCGTCAAAAAAGAGCTTGCAAGGAATCAGCAAGCAGCCGCTGAGGCGAGCTGCCAGTCTGGGCGCTGAGTGCTCTGATGCCTTCTCTGTGGAGAATTCTGCTCAAGAACAGCAGGTACTAAACCAAGTCAGGTTCCAAGCAGTTGGCCATGAGCCGCCATAGCACCACTGGTCCCCAGAAAAGATGTGACCTCCCTGGCAACCCTCTCCCTATACACAGGACTGCCTGGAACCACCCATCTCTGCTCAACCTCTGCCCTTTCTGAGTGGCGCTTCCTCACGTTCCTCACATGGGTGTGCAGACGGCTCAGGTGACTGAAGCCCTGCAGGACCCCAGCATTTCCCGGTGCCCAAAGTATGTCCAAGGGAAGCCATGCTAGCCACACTGGCCTCCTTTCTGCTCCTCCAGCCCATTACAACGGTTCCCAGCTCGGGGCCTTCGGACTTGAACATTCCTCAGTCTGAGTTGCTTTTCCACCAGATTTATCACATGGCTGGCTCCTTACCATTCTTCAATTTCACTTTTTAAAGAAGCTTTTGCCTCCTCACCCTAACAATGCTTCTGGTCCCCAGTTATTCTTTCACTCATTTGGCTGTATTTCTTCATAATACACAACTTAAAAAAAAAAAAAGTGCTTTCATTTATTTGTATTGTCTTCAATTTCTTTCAACTTAAAAAAATATTCTTAATGTATTTATTTTTTAATACAAGGAATTTTACAGAATTGTGTTTGTTTCTGCCGAACATCAATATGAATCAGCCATAGGTATACATATGTTCCCTTCCTCTTGCACAGTACACATCTTAATTATTTGTTTTTATGCATACTATTTTCTCCCCTGACTAGAATGTAACTCCCATGATGATGGAGATCTCATCAACCTTTTTCATGCCGGTAGACTCAGCATCTTAAATCCTACCTGGCACACAGTATGTGCTTTATAGAACTTTAAGAATGAATAAATGAATAAACAAGCAAATGAACTCATGAACAAGACTATCTGGTACAGAACCAGTGGGGAAAAGGTCAAAGCAGAATTTGTCACCTATCATCAACCACTCTGCTTCCATTTTTTTTTTTTTTCTTTTTCAATATTTCAAGAGAGACTAGGGGTGAATGATCTACATGTGAGTGGTAAAGTAGGGAAGTACAGCCTCTAGGAGATGGCTTTTTCATTTGATGCTCTAAACATAAAACCACTCTGCAATGATAAGCAGAAGATCCTTTAAAATCAAACAGAGGGGAAAAAAAAGAACGTATTTGGATGTCAGCAAGGTAGTTCTGCCAACCTAATTACAACCTGTGACATGTAATTGTGAACTGCTGAAAGACAAATGGTGAAGCTAAGCATTTATTATAAACATACACAGAGGTAAGACAGAGGTGTTAATTTTGAGGCAACTGTCATAAATCTGATTCCAGGATATTATTCCATTAACATTATTATTATTATACAAAGAGTATAAGCAGGATGACGAGTTCCTTTCATGTATTTCTCAATACCTAGGAAATTAGGCTTACGAGTCAATACCCAGCTGAGACATTTGAGAAAACAAAAGGTCCAATGAAAATGGCAGAATGCTAATTATACCAACAAGAAGAGAGTTGTTCTATACATTAGAGACTCATTTAAAATGCATTCTTATCTTCATTTAGACACCATATTACTCAACCCAAGAAAGGTACACTCCAGGGCTCCTTACATGGCAGATTCAGCCTTCATAGGAAAGCAAAAGTAAAATGAAACAAAACAGCAAGCCCACACTTTCTAAATGAGAAAAGAATGGGAATCTGACTGTCAATAGTGTCTTAAAGGCATACTAGTCATTTTTCTCAAAACCGGAATAACATGAAAGTATCTCTCCTCTGGAACAGTGATTCAGAAAAGGGGGAGGAGTTAATATGTTACAGGTCCTATTATATTAAACAGTAATAAAAATCATGAAGTGCAGTACTGATAAATGTTCTAGTTTTACTGCTATGTTTGAAAAGCACTCCAGATTCTAAAATGTTGTGTATTTTTTACTTCCATATAAATTGATTTGTCATTATCATACATTTAAATTATACAAATGTGTTTTTTTAAAAATCCATACTGAAATATCAAAATCAGCCTCAAAAACAGACTTAGGAAAACTTTATTCATACAAATTATGATATGTAATATATAAAATACAGTGAAATCATTATGGATATCATCCAAAAGTTTTAAACACTCTTTAGAATGGTTATTAATAATTTATTCATTTTCATTCATGTGGGACTGTTTAAAGTCATCTAGCAAAAAAGAAAACTAAATTAGTATAAAATGTTATTCATTAAAATTAAGACCGAGTCATTAAAGAAGTCCAGAGGTATGGAATTTATGATCTTGCATACATGTTTATAAAATGTGGACTCGGGGAAGAACCATTTAATTTACCAAGAAACCCTTTGATCTCCAGTGCATTACAACTAATAGAACAATGGCAAATTGCAGCGGAGACGTCTTTTTGAACGGCTCCTACTAGACTTGAGATTTCTCTACTCCTATTTAGGGTGCAGAATTGACCTGCAAGACTGTCATTTTTGTTCCAGTTTGTTTTACACAGCCCCAAGCAAAGCCTTGACCATAAATAAGGCAACGGGGCCCCAGGAGCCAGCTGAGTCATAAACCCTACTCAGTCGCATGTGGCTCAAGGTGTTGGGATCCCGAGAGAGTCAAGCCAAGCAAGTGGAATCAATTTAGGTCAGAGTTAGGAAAAACAGAGTGTCTCCCCACCCCCAACTGGCAGGGCAAGACACCACAATCCCCCCTCCACTGTTCAAATACAGGGAGTGGTAACTAAGCCCAGGAAAACATCTAGACCAGGGCAGACTATTTCCACAGTCTAAAAAGAAGGAAAAAAATGATATTTGACAACCAACCACAAATTTTTAAATGTACGGTTCTCCTGTTTTTGAGCATAAAAGCAGTCTTGTTCCTGCTCAGTTATTATCACCATCACAGCTTTTGACATTTGTGCCCAGTACCATTTGGCCATAGGATACTTAGGCTTATTACTTTAAAGAAACAGATTTAAGCATGTTTAAATCAATTTAATATTGCAAAAAGCAGCAAACACACAGCCTACCTGCCTGGGCAGGCAAACTTAAAAAGAAAAGCTTTATAGATTGGCCTACAGGTCAACAAATTCTGGTTTTGGCAGACTGATGTCAGGAAGGAGTTGTAGAAAATAAGTTTCTCTGTATGAAAACTACTTGGCCTCTGGTTCCCTCAGGTCAGAACTTGGAACTGTTGGCAAACATGCCCTGAAAAACTGCAACTCTCATAAAGTGCTAAAAACTTCCAAATAAATGCAGTCCCTCAAAACTGTGTACAAATAAGAAACATTTAATGAACAACCCTTCCTTTGCCAATAATTCCACTCAAATTAAGTCCAGCAGAATCTTCAAAGGGACCAAGGAAGCCCCCCTATTAAGACAAATTCTATATATAGACAGCCGAGACAATTACATGAGGCACATAACCAAATATATATAATTATCCTAGTTTTTACATTCCCATTATCTTCATGAATATAGGGTAAAAATCAGTCTAAATGACTTCTCAGACCTCAAGGATTAAGACTAGCCAGTTAGCTTTTAAAAAGTATACGTGTATAGTACAGATCAAAGGCAAGTGTTCTGGTCAGTTCTTTTCTACTCATGGGTTTTACTAAGAATGTGTGCAGCTTTCAGGGAAAACACCACAAATGACAGCTGTTCAAAAGCATGGAAATTAATTGGCAGCAGGAATTTCCTTGACTAATAGGGAAAAACTTAAAGTCACATGTTTTGATGAGCTTATTTTTCCCATCCTTAGTCAAGCATATTCACTGTTAATGATTAAGATTTTCAAACAGAAATATAACCAAGAAAAGCCTGAGTACATAACCAAGTAAAATGCTGAGTGAAACACAGCTCCCTATTACTGAATGAACAACAGCATTAATGAATGGATTTTAGGCATAAATTACACACAGGGAAAGATTCAACTTGCAGGTCTTGATTTTCCATATGAACTAAATTGGGATGACAATAAGAATAATACAATATATTTATTATATTAAAAAATAGTAGCAAAACAAGTGACCCCCCTGAACCTCCCCTAGTAAGCCATCTGCTCTGAGCTGTTTTTCTAGCAGCGGTGATAGATTTACACTGATCCATCCACAGTCTCTCTGACACAGAGGCTCTCAAGTCGTTGCCCTTGTGACCAGTGGTAAGAATGGATGAGACAGCTGGACAGGATTATGCGGCAGCCTGTGCCCTAGAACCAAGTTGTGTTGACTCTGCCCAGAACTATGACCTTGGGCTCATTAGCATTATGCTCTTACCGCCTAAGCTAACTAGCCACTGATTAGCCACGATCCAGCATACGCCACTCTGGGAGCACAATGTGTTCTCAATCACAGCAACAATGTGAGTTGTTATTTTCAAGGCAACTGAATTGAGCCCATGACATGCAAAGGCTCATGCGTGGTGGAGTGTACACACACTGTCCCTCAAGGCAGCAATGAGATGGCCCTTCTCTATCAAATGACTGCTCTGACAGTTCAGAGAAAGCAAGAAATAGTCAAAGAATTTCCAGGAATCTCCCTGGTGGTCCAGCGGTTAAAACTCTGTGCTTCCACTGCAGGGGGTGTGGGTTCAATCCCTGGTCTGAGAACTAAGATCCTACATGCCACACATGCCAAAATTTAGAAGAAAAAAAAAGTTCCAAAGCACGTTCTCCAGGCACCAAAACAGAATAACATACCTGGCCATCCCCAGACTTGAAAAGTTGGCAGGGACAATGAGTATATCCAGCCTGGAGAATGGGTGTGTTCCCAGGACAGAGTGTGCTGCGGAGAGGCAAGGAGGGATGAGCGGCAGCAGGGTCTCCTGGCAGGCACTCTCCAGGCACACTGGAGCAAAGACCCGATGAGGAATGATCTTCTGGGCGGTGGCAGAAGCATTCTGGAAGCGGCAGGGGTATTCCATGTGACCACAAAAGCCAACATACCTGGGAGCAACACGAAAGAAACAGATGCATTTTATGGTAAATATGGTTTATTCCTCTTTCCATGGAGATGAGGTATTGACACAGACATAGACAACTTCCAGGAGACAGTGGTTCTAATGGACTGATAAGCAAAACAGTTCATTTGAGTTCTTGTCTTGTTTATTTCTATAGAGTGGTGAAAATATTACAGGTCAAAACACTTATCAAAGTGCTGAATTGATTATCTTCAATCTAAGCTAAGTGGAAGCAGTAAAATCTTGTTTTAGAATAAACAGGGAGAATCTCTAAGATTCAAAACAACAAAGCAATCCCCTAGTAAAATAAAAAGCAATTCCTATCCTTAGAAATGTGTTTTTCAAATGTCACTATGGGAAAAATCTTCTCCAGTTCAGAATAATTTGCAACTTAGAAAGGAAGGAACAGAGCAACCAAGTTAAAGATCCCACTCTGAAATGCCATAGAATAAAAGATGTAGACTCAGTGATGTATCCTGTGAAACAAATCACAATGCCATTTCAAGCTTTTCAAAAGAATATAATCCATTTTACTGAAAAGTAACCTACAATAACTGTTCTTTATGAAGGCCCTCAAAAGTTTTGCTGTTGAGGATTACAGGAGCACTTTGACACAACACTTTCCCCAAGCCACTTTCAATACAAATTTAACTGAATCAACCTTTTAAGGAAACAGATGAGAGCCCGGCCCACACCATCTGACCACTGCCAGTTATTCTGGCAAAGGTGGAGCCGGAAAAGAATTCCTAGAACCTGACTCAGAGGCCTCAAGAGAATGTATCTACCCAAAGAAACCAACATCAAAGGAAACTATTTTTTTACCTGCTAACACAGCCTTTATTCAAACAGAAAGGGAAGTCCCTCTAATTTGAAACTGCAAATTATAATTCTAACTGTACATACTTCTTCACAATGAATACTGAAACACTTTAAAATGCTGGCACATCCCAATACGGGCAGACTACACCAATAACTCGTTTCCACGTGCTTAACGTGCCGTTCACCCATCCAAGGCCAGCCCTGCCCAAGAAGATCCAAACCGCCATGGAGATAAGCCTCACCCTCCGCCAGCCTGGGACACAGAACACAGCTTCCTGCACCAATGACATTTTACCACAGGTTAGGGTAAGAGAAGTGGGTGGAGACCCATAAAAACTTCTGACAGGATAAAGTGACAGGAAGAACATCATTATTGTCATTGAACATTAGTCAAAGTCTCTGGATTAATAACCTTGCTTTACAGAGAGAGTGAGTAGAAATGCCTTCTGGTAAACATCTAACTGAAAAGGCTGCAATTGTCTACCTAACAAATACTGTGTCGGTACATCAATTCAATCAAAAGTTAGAGAATAGTTTGGGGTAGACAAAGGTACACACCAAAAAGCTACTTTGTTAAAAAAAAAGGAGGGGGAGAGTTAAATTTTCTCTGGACAGGAATGACACTAGCCAAGGTAATGAGGGTCATTCCAGTTGTGTGAATTACCACTGTTTTTCATAATCAAAGCCTGAGAGAATGTGCAGGACTTTAAGGCAATCTAGCTATAATCAAACTAAGTGAGATGATAAGACTCCCAATAAAAATGGAAACGGCATCAGGGAAGCCATACATGTGTTCCTATTGGGGGGTGGGGGCACATCCGGAAACCTAGGCTTCAGAGGCTGGTCTCAGGCTGGCTAACTGACCTGAGTCAGGCAACTCAGTATCTGGGGCCTCTTCTTCATAATCTCTAACATTCTCTCACCCGAGTGGCTGCTGGGGCAGGGGAGGAGTTGATTGGAAGGGGATGTGAGGGAACTCAGGGGGTTGACAGAAGTTCTCTGTCTGGTTTAGGGCACATACAATCATCAAAAGCTCATCAGGCCAAACACTTAGAATCTGCACACTTTGTTGTACGTTAATTATGCTTTAATTAAAAACAAACAGAGAATCTAAAACAGTTTCTAAGATTTCTCCTGGCACTGCGATTCCCTGACAACACACCACAGGAGCCCCTTTCACGCAACAGCCATGTTCCTGAAGTGGTGAGGTAACACGGTACTTTTATAAGGTCATGAATAGTCTCCCACAGAAGCAACATTAACCCAAAGATGCCATACCTTCCTTTCACACTAACCTTCAGTTATTAATTTCTGTGTATGTGCCTGTTCCAATACATTCTCAATATCACCAACAATTCAAGCAGTTGTAAATACCAGTTTCTTGCGTCCAGACTTGAATCAAAGTAAATATTTTAATAGTACATATTATTAATAATGCCTGATAGCTAATAAATAATCTGTAATACTAAGTAAGAATAATAAGCAATAATAAGTCCTACCGCAACTGCTATTAAACATTCACTAGGTGCCTAGCACTGTTCTGAACACTTTATATGCATTATCCCAACTAATGCACACAACATCCTGAAGCGTAAGAACTATTCTTTTCATCACACTGAGTCATCATAAGCTCCTCTCTGCTGACCCTCCTGCTCCACATACTTCATGATTCTTCTTGAGTAAATTAGGATCCTGGATTTTTCTAAAAGCTGAGCCCAGTTGGTCTGTGGTTCTCTGGCTTCCTGCTCCTCCTTGTATTGATAGTATTAGTGCCCATTAATGTTGCCAGGAGTGGGAAGAACTGGTGAAATATATGTGAGACTGGTAAATGATGGGAAGCTCATCACTGGTTCCCTCTCACACAATTGCTAGGCTAAAATTATTTTATAAGAGGTCTTTTCAGAGAGTAAGAATGACCATGTTTTACTCATAATCGAAAGGGTGAAAACTGTCAAGAAGCTCTTCTTCAGCCCAATCTCTTGTTTCAAGAAGGTGCTGTACTAGAACCACTTGACACAAATGTTTTCCTACCACAGGTTCAAAGGAATTGCTAGAAAATTCTCCCTTGGAAAGCATATCTTTTACTGCTCACAAACCCCTTCCTCAGTTCAACCTGACAACTTAGTAAATATTTCCAGCATCTTTGCTCTATTCAAGGCACCTCAAAGGATGCTGCTGTGTACACACGTATGAATAAATTTCCAACCCTATCTTTGAGGAGCTTACAGTTTTCTTGGGAGAAAAAATTTTTTTTAATTCTGAAAGGTACAGTGACATAGGTTACACAATTTATTAACATATTTTAGCAAGCAGCTTAGATGCTTGCTTACCATAAAAATCACAAGTGTTCAAAATGCCACCACCAGCCCCCAGTGAATTGTCGACAAAGATGTTAATATAAACTGCGATATGGGAGTGTCTAGAAGCTGGATGCATTTTCTCAGGGCATTTAGTGCACTGCAGAGGAAACTGAGATGTGTACAGTAAGAAACAGAAAGCTGTCTTGAGAGAGCAAGGGCTGGAGAAATCAAACCAAGCCAGGAAGATATGAAAAGTATTGCTCATAGTGAAGGATGTAATAGAAATTGGCATTTTTCCTATGATTTATATATATTTATAATGTACATATTATCAATATATTATATATGTGTGTGTGTGTGTGTGTGTGTGTGTGTGTGTGTATGTATGTGAGCTGCTTAGTCGTGTCCGACTCTTTTGCGACCCCTTGGACTGTAGCCCGCCAGGCTCCTCTGTCCATTGAATTTTTCAGGCAAGGATACTGGAGGGGTTGCCATTTCCTTCTCCAGGGGATCTTCCTGACCCAGGGATCAAACCCAGATCTCCTGCATTGCAGGCAGATTCTTTACAGTCTGAGCTACTAGGGAGACCCATATATATATGTAATTCCCTCTTTTCCAGACTCTCCAAGGGATAAACAGGGTTTATCCTCCAAGGTCCACAAGGGAATTTTCATCACCTTTGCAGCTCTAAAGAAGACCTCTTCCTGCACCAAGTCGTCCCTTCTCTCAGATGAACAACTTCAATGCCTTTTCTTCTTTGTGTTGCCTGGCTTCCTTGAGTTTAATCATTTTTGTTGAGTCCTCTGGACTTTATCCAAGTTTCCATGTTGTGCTTAAACTGAATGGCCCCCAAGTGAAGAAAATATTCTAACAAAGGCCTTGAGAGGTTAAACATAACACAAAAATTCCCCTGTGGCTCAAGAAGGTTATACTGCAGCCAAATAAAATTGATAAACTTTCAGAAGTTCACCTAAGTGCTTTTTAACTAACGTATTTGCTCACCTAGAATGGGCTAGAGCATGCGTGGAGCTGGAGCTGGAAGAGGGAACATTCCTCACATAATTTAGGCCACATGAACAGTGATCAAAAGTTCAGTGACCAAAACTTTGGCTAAGTCTCTGAGACACAGATGAAACTTTCAGGCAAATGCAAGCCTGTGGTGTATAAAGGCCCTGTAAAAGTTACATTTACATGACTTGAACTGGTGGTCTTGGGAAGGTTTGAAATAGAAAGGGTAGGGTGGGGGGTGGAGATGCTGAGGGAGGCAAGGGGACCAGATGTGAATATAACCAAAAACACCACCGCAGTTGGCACTTGAGAGCACCTTTGCTGGCAAACTTAGCATGGAGCCAAAGATTGAATGGATAAAAACACAAAGCCACCCTTTGATGACTAAAGACAGCACACATGGAGCATGCAGCCAGGGAAGGATTAAACAAATGTAAGCTATTATTTTATCAGCAGTACATTTCTGATGGACAAGCATGGTGATAAATGGGGAGAAAACTTAGTCATAGCATGTTGGACACAGAGGGCGTGGGAGGGACGCCATTCCACAGTCCTGTGTCTCCATACGAGGACATGCTTCCCCAGAGTGGCAACCCTGACCTCTCTCCACAGCTGATGGGGTTGGCTTGCCACTTTGAGCTTTCTCTTTTTCAATCTGCTTGCCCACAGAGGGGTTACTTTTTGGCTGTTAGGCAATCTGTGTGCATCTGTGTTGTGGAGACTGGCAGAGGTCCACCTGGGTGGGTAACTGGGTGGGTGAGTAAGTTTGTCTAATTTGGAAATGAAGTATTAGAATGTCCACTGAGAGTATGCACCTGAGCACTACCTCAGTCCAGCTTCGGTCAACAATAAAAGCTTTATTTTGCTTTTCTTCTGTCTGTTTCTCAATTAGTTCTAAACTCAGGAGGACAAAAGAGGAATCAAAATTACCCTTTCCCCTAAACCCCAAGAGGAATTTCAGATATAATCTCTCTCCACTTGATCTGTCCATATCCTGCTTCCATCACAACTACAGATGCAAGAAGAGTGAAAAGCCATTGCAGTTACTTCTGGGCAGCAGAGAGCAATGACCGCTGCCCACTCCCCTCCTGTGTGTCTCTGGGAATATGGCTAGAAGGACAAAATAGCAAAGCTCTACCTTTGCTTTCTCCTCGTTTCCTAAGGCACACATTTCCCGATGTACACCTCCCCTAAGAGTCAATGAGCCCTGTGGGCGTAGATGAAGAGCTCAGTGCTTCTTCACCACAAAGAATCTGAGAACCCTGAACAAAGACTTTCTTCTACAGAGAAGGGAAGTATGGCCTGCCCAAAGAGATATAATCAATAGAAATGGCTCTTTCAGCCTTAAAGGCAATGCTTTCAACTTCTGTTTTCTGTTCTAACATGACAGATTCCAATCAACAACAGTGGGAAGGTAGATCAGACTCCAGGTGAGGTGTGGATGTTACATGTAGCCTTTCAAAGTCCCCAGGCAAGGTTCTGAATCACCTCTCTAGGGGGTCAAGCTGAGATGTGAATCCATGTGTTGTATGTAACTCAATAGGGATATGGACATGAACAAGTTGCTGTCTGAAGCCTCTGTATCTTTCTGTGAAAAAAGGAGATAATAAAGCCTATCAACCTAATAGGCTTATCCTCAGGACTAACTGAGATGACATTTAGATCAAGACCCGCTCTGACTGCAACACCCAGTGGCTTCTCTATCAGCTCAGGATAGGCTGAGATATGCTGCAGTAACAAATAACCCCAGTGTTTCAGTGCTTAATGGGAAAAAAAAGTTATTTGTCAGTCATACCAAGTGTGCTGTAAATCCACATAACTCTCCCGGGCACCTGTCCTCCTCGCTCAGAAATCTGGGCTTCATGAAACTGCAGAGTGAGGCCTACTCCGTGATCTCAGTAACAGAGGAAGAGAGGACCAGAGGGTAGCACAGGCAATTAAATGTTCCCATGTGAAAGTAAGATATGTCATTTCCATCCACAGTGTTCTTCCCTCAAGAGTACATAAATAAAACCCAATAAACAATCTAGGATCCTCTACAGAGCTCAAGACACACAGTCCTGACAGACAAGTTATTGAGCAGGAAGTAGAAATTTCTTCCCTTCCTCCAAAAAGCAAACGCGGGCAATAAGACATGCCTATGTTAATAGAGGCCTCAGTGGCTTTATCTCCTAAGGGTACCGACTCCTACTGACACTGTGGTAAGAATGAAAGCAACATAGCAAAATAAAACCAAAACAAGAGGAATTTCACTAAGAGCATTACCTTAGTTGGTTTTCAAGGATGAAATGAGCATCTGTATCATTGCTTTTCACTGAAAGGTACTGACTTAGTGACTTTGTGTCAATAGGACAAAAAGATTAAACTGAGGTGGGTGTCAAGGTCACCCTGGAACAAAGCATGATGCAACAATGCACAAGGAGCAAGCACACTTCTGTGCCTCTTACATGCATTCTCCTTCCTTTTGGCTCTGAAAACTAGATACAGCTGAATGCCCAGGGAGGAGGCTATAAGCAAATATCCAAAGGCCCACACTAATTTTTAAAAGCTTTGAATTTCTCTGATCCATCCTGAAAAAGAAGAAATTGCTACTGAAGTTAACAGAGCCCTGACTCAGCAAGATTCTCATAACCTAATGGCCTTCTGACAGCTTCCTCGTGTCCTGAGATCCAAGGAGGCTGACTCTCCCCACTGAGGGAGGGCAGCCCCCACAAGCGCAGGGCTGATAACAGGCAAGGAATCAAAACAGCAAAGTGGCCCACAAAGTAATCCATCAGACGGGCACCTTCTTTCCATTCAGTTGTGCTTTTGAAAAAATAAGTACTGAAAACCAAAGTTAAAAGGTGTAGAAGGAGATAAAGTATTGAATCTGATGATTCTGTTGACTTAATGAAACACATAAAAATATTTCACCTGACTACACAGAGGATCTCATATATATTTCTTTTTCTTTCTGCATAAACAATATGCCCACATTTCTGCCTCTCAACTCTCTTTCACTCCCAGTAGGGTTTTTCCTGCTTTGATTAATCATATTTTGGTTTAGTTTCTCAGCAGGAATGACTCACATTCCCAGTGCTTGGAATAAATGCATCATACTGCTCCCTCAAGTGTTTGTTTTTCAGCAAGTTCCCAAGTACAAACCTGAAGTCAGCTTCAGAAGGTGAGGAGGATCTCTCTATTGCCAGATCACTTGGTGAGCAGATCTCCGGCTTTATTTCTGTCCAGGATCCCACTGCAATTGTAAAGGTGGAGGCTGGCATTGGCATGGTGACATAGTAATGCCAACTTGAGTAGCCTACAAACAGAAAGAGAAAAACATAATGCGGCCAATGCATGGTCCTGGACTTTACTCTGCATTTTTTCTCTTTAGGCACTTGAAGAGCTTGTGTGCTAAGTTGAGATGAGCTAATTCTTGGAGGTGGAGCATTATTCTAGATCTCAGCAAAAGAGAGATGATGGATTCAGGATAGCCAAGAAGATCTGGATCTCTTCTAGGGATCAGTTTGAAACCCTTCAAGTGAGGCTATAAACAAAGGGTTGAGGCAGTCACTAATAGCTAAGAACACGTAAGGACAGAGGTTGTATGCTACTATGGAGTCAAGAACATATCTTATCCATATTGCCAGCACAGTACTTGGCATAAAAAAGAAGATGCTATGTTGAATGAATGAATAAATGACCATTTCTGTGCTGCCTAACTACTTTATCTAAATTCAATTCAGGTCACTCTAAAATGGATATAGCAAAAAAAAAAAGAAAGAAAGAAAATGAGACTAGGAATGAAAGTATATGGGTTTTAGCACCAACCCTGAAGCTACTTATTTATGGAAGTTCAGGTCTTATCGCTCATCCTTTTTATCTGTTAATATATTGGGGTAGTCCCCTTTCCTAATCAAGCAGATGAAAACCAGAGCTTGAGAGGTTCAGGGGAGCCAAGGACTCCCAGTTAGTTGTAACAGGGCTGGAATTTGCAGTTGGAGCTCCCTACCACAGCCACGTGTATACCCCCTCCACTTAGTCCAAACCATAGAGAAGGTTCTTACCAAAGGGGCAAATGATTGATAACATAAAATTATGCTTCTTCTCTTGTAAGATGAGGAAATGCTTTTAATGTTACTGAAATCTCCATGTATCAGTCAACCTGCCTTAACGTAATATTTTTTTCTGAGCATGTGTTATAAATTAGTGGTGTTTTCTTTAGGGAATCTAGTATCACCTCACATTACGGAACACATAATGTGTGTCACTCTTCATGTTCCCATAGCGGGAGCTACCGCTGGAGTAACACTCCCAGCCTCTCTTTCGGCCCTTTGCTAACTCCTTTCGAGGAGCTAGTCTTCTCTTTCCTATTCTAAGCTGCTGAGGGTTAAATACTCATAGAATGGCCTGTTGTCGTCCAGTTTGGTCAATGAGTGCATAAAGTCAAATTCAGAGTCGAGATATTAACAGGCCTACATTGACCAGCAGACTTTTAATGACATTTTTTCAAAATGCCTTACCAGTAAAAATCAGTAATAGGTTGGATTTTGCTCTCCAAATACTTGGATTTTTTTAATCTCAACTAATCTGAATTTTCGAAGATTGGAGGGGTCGTTATTTATTACCCTCTGAAACTAACAATTTAGATAGAAATACATTACAGAACTTCTCTGATAAAAATCAAAATTTTAAATAGGAAACAAAAACTTAAACTTAGGACAAAATGAACATATCTCAAGTTTGAATAAACAGAATCTGCTATCAAGTTTGAAGTCTATAGAGGAGATACCTGAAGAAGGAATACAGAAGGGCATGCTGCTGGAAACCCTTTACAGAGGCAGCCATTCTCTCAAACTTGCTTGTAAGTTTGATACTGGTTCTGCAAAAAGAGTGGCCACTCTTGAGATCACTTTCTCCTCAGCTGACTAAGAAGCTGAAGGCAGGCTCCTCTTTAAAGAGAACCAAATCCAGTGATGCTGGAGACAATCTGATGATATGCATAGCTTCTCCTGGGCTTGAAGAAAAACCACAACTTAAAAAAAAAAAAAAGGCTGCTGTGATACCAGGCCAGTACGAAGGTAGAGACAATCCCAGCAGTCTTGACAAAAGCCTGACATGGATCCGACGTGACATGCTGTACTGAGTCTGCCTCCCTAATTTTTCTACTTTCCCATGACTGCCTCATTCTCTGCAACCTCATGCCTCCCCTATAGTTTGCTCCAATGAAGAACTTCAATTTGGACTGGACAACACAATGAGAGCTGGCATAAGTTGGGGGGTGGGGAGGAGGAGATATGAGAAGAGGAAAGGGGGTATGGGAAAACAGTGAAATATCCTAGGTTTTGAATATCCTAGGTTTAAGAGAGAAATTTCAAAGAACAAGACTCTGGATCACAGGGCTGTGGTCTGGTCATTCTATCTCTGAAACCTATTTTGGGGTGTTGTTGAACATGGGCTGTTGAACCTTTCTTTCCAAAACTTCAGCTCCTTGGTGGGGGGAAGAGGTTCAGTAAATAAACAGCAACAGTGAGGCTTGCAGGTAAAAATGGAAGATTGAATACATATCTGATAAAGAGTTAATATCCAAAATATATAAGGAACTCACACAACTCAATAGCAAAAATATATATAATCCTTATTTAAAAACTGGGTAGTGGAACTAGGTTGCTTTCTCCTAAAATCCAATTAAAGGACAGTAAAAGGATTTTCTTAAAAGGCATAAACCAAAAAGAACAAGGAGTATAAAACAGGAGACAATTACCCACAAAGTACTGGAAGCCAGAGTGCAGGTAGGAAAAGTGGAAAATGACATGGCAGCCCTGAATCCTAAGTCAGCTGGGAGAAAGACAAGATTCACCTCATTTTATCCCCCAGATCCTCCCAAACAGCTGTGAGTAGAGGCTAAACTAAGCAGGGTGGGCCGGATGACTCAGAGGGGCTCAGATCCCTGGGTGGCCACCCCTGCTCCTCACACCTGGGCTACCTGTCCACCCCCCTTACACATGCTAGCAAACAGCTGGAGGTTTATCTTCCAGAGAGTAAAAGAGAGGGTCTCTGAGGGTAGAATAGTAAAGCTGAAGGCAAATGAATGGGATTAAGTGAACGAACACACATCAGATGCTGAGACCACCAGCCTTAGGTGTGTGCTGTGCTCAGAGGCTCAATCGCGTCTGACTCTCTGCAGCCCCACGGACTGTAGCGTACCAGGCTCCTCTGTCCCTGGAAGTTTCCAGGCAAGAATACTGGAGTGCGTTGCAATCTCCTACTCCAGGGGATCTTCCTGACTCAGGGATCGAACCCGTGTCTCTTGCATCTCCTGCTTTGGCAAGCAAATTCTTAACCACTACCACCAGTCATTTCCCCTTATTTGACAACCAAGTTTTTACCCCCAGGCAGAAAAATGAAAAAACCTGACAAGCCCAAGAAAGACAACCAAGGATACTGAAATTGGAGGTTTCCTATGATTTGTCGATGATGAAACTTACAGAGGACAAGGCCTATGCATTCACTAAGTGCTCCAATTACATCAAAAAACACCAAACAGATACATACTGAAAGTTCAGAGAATTTATTGCAGTGCTGAAACAAGAACAGTACAACATGAATAAAAGAGGACAGTAGAGAATTAAAAAAACATGAGAAGGAAAGAAAAACCCAATAATAGGAGTGAGATGGAATATAAAGCTGAAATCTCCCCAGAAATAAAAGAAGACAACTTAATATCCAAGTAACAGAAGCTCCAGGAAAAGATATCAGAGAAAACAGAAGGAAGAAAACTGCTGGTTAAAAAATTTGAGAAAATTTCCCCAAATTTAAGGGACCATGAGTTTTCAGACTAAAAGGGCACACAATATCCAGAACACCAGGTACAAGTCCACCTACATTATGATACATCATTATGAAACTTAGAACCCTGAGGATAAAGGCAAGATCTTACAAGCTTCCCAAAAGAGAGAAAAAACAAGTCACTTACAATAAGGACATTTTCAGGCATGTAAAATTTTTTTAAAAAATTGCCTCCCACACATTCTGTTTTCTGGAAGCTACTAGAATATGTAAATTATGCTTCAGAAGGAGGGAGTAAACCAGTAAGAGGAATACAGATGATCCAACATAAGAGACACAAAGGGAACCTGTAGAATGATGGAGAAGGGCATGCCCAGGAGCCAGCGGTGCACCCAGTAGGGAGTGTAACGTGCCCTGCAGGGCAGAGTGTGTGGCCCCAGGAGAGACTGCTTCAGGAGGATGAAACGGAAGGAAAATCTGATGTGTCTGAGCATCTGTGAAGATTTAAACAACTTTCAAAGAATCTTGGGGTTGGCAAATACGTAGAAAACCAAGCAAAAGAGAACAGACAATAAGGTTATTATTAATTCCATGAAAAACTAGCATGTAATATAGAAATAATAACATAATCAAAGTTGCACAAACAAACACAGATATAATAATATGTGGTGAATATTGACCTAATCAAAGTTATGATATTAATTACATTGTGAAGATGAAGTTTTGGGAAGGGAGCATGTGTGTGATGGAGCAGGTAGAGGGAGAGGAAGATTGCCAAATCCTTATCTGCCATAGTGTGAAAGCCAATGCTGAACAATCAAGCATCTTATTGAATATTATGAACATAAGTATCAAATAAATAAAAAGAAGATAACTTCTGAAGTAAGAAAAATATGCTGGAAGTACTGAGGACTGCTATTTTGGGAAAGGAGTATAATAAGCACAATTGAACTACTTGATTCTTTAAATATGTGTATTTTTTTAAAAAAAAATTTAAAATAACATAATCAGTCAATTGAAAGAGAATCTTATCAGAAAAAGAACAACACTTTTGGTTCTGAGATAGTATTAAAATGATAAAATATAACTCAGAAGAGGCACTTTAGCAATAAGGAGTAGGCACTATTCTACTAAGAAATCCTTTAAGGATAAAACATTAGTAATGATATTTTGATAGAAGACCAAAAGCAAAAAGAAATAGGAGGAACAACATCAAGCTAAAAATGTTCTACATAGCAAAAGAAATCATCAGTGGAATGAAAGGGAAATCTACTGAATGAAAGTATTTGCAAACCACACATCTGATAAGGAGTTAGTATCTAAAATATGCAAGGAACTCATGCAACACAATAGCAAGAAGACATCTAACCCTACTTTTAAAATGCGTAAAAGACCTAAATAGACATTTTTTCAAAGAAGTAACTCAAATGGCCAAGAAGTAGACAAAAAGGTGTTCAGCATCACCAATCATCAGGTAAATGCAAATCAAAACCACAGTGAGGTATCACCTCACCTATTAGAATAACTGTT